AACCAGGCAAGCCAGAGAAGTTCCCTGTTACTCAATGTTTTTGTTGTAAGCAGGTCCTTAATGGTAGAATGAAAGCCACCTACATTAGCGAGGGCTATCAGCTTTATTCAGTCTACTGATTCAAATGTTAATCTTATCCCAAAATAGTCTTACAGACACCCAAAATATTTGACCAAATGTCTGGGCACCCCATGGCCCAGTTATTAATATTAATATTTATAAAACCCTTTACATAGTATTTAACATAAGACAGAGATAGGTAATGTTTGCCAATAAAAATAGAAATAGAAATAAACGGCTATGTCAGAATTACCTAAGAGTGTGTAGCTAGCAGTTGCGGAAAGAATGAATCAAAAACAAAGGGAGCAGGCAGTATGCACTTTTAAGCTACTTTGTAAAAGATAAGATACTCAGCTTTTGGAAATATCTCAGTGAATTATTTTTATGTGTCTCATTCAAATGTCAATGTCTAATTGGCTAATCTGGCTTTGCTCTCTCTGTTAGTTTGGGCCTGACTCTGGATCCCCATTGAAGCCATTGTGTTCTTCTTATGTCCTCCTATGTAGCTTATGTCATCCTATGTCCTCCTATGTGTGTCCCCTTCCCAACTCAGGCATACATTTCTCCCTCAGACCATCATGGTCAGATTCTAGATGGTCTCCTGCCTCCACTGTTGCCTTTTTAAATTCTTCCTCATACCTGCCTGAGTAATCATTCTAAAACAAATATGCAACCCTGTCACTTCATTGCTAACTGTCCCCAGTAGATCCCCACTGTAGCTGAATGAAGGCCTGATATAATACATCAGCATGAGATCGAAATGCTGGGCTCCAGCTTGGCTTCCCAACTTGATTTTCATTCACTCCGACATACGCTATGTCCAGATCCTCCAGGCTCATTCTTTTTTCCTCTAAAATGAATTTTCTTTCCCTCCTCATCTACTTAACAAAGCAATATCTAACTTTCAGCCTTTGCTCAAATATCCCCCTTTCCCACTCTCCCTGGAAATTAGTCTTGCTCCTTTATATGTTCCATATCTCTCCGTACATTTGAAAAACACTGTTAGGACCTATCCAACGTATTTTAATACTATGTTCTTAGTTATCAATACATGCACTTATTTTTATATGCCAGTCAATTTTGTGCTTCTTAAGGATAAAATTCGCAATTCACTCATTTTTGACCTCATATCACCCATACTAGACATCACTCTGTCCAGCACAGTAGTTGGCATGTAATAAGTGATTGTTAAATATGTGTCGATCACTTGTACTGTGGGTTTCCCTGTGCACTCTTTGTCCTGTTTCCATCTTCTTTTTGACTTCCTTCATTGACCACCCTGGCATCTTCCTCCATTTACTGCATTACTGTATCAATCTGATATCGCTTCTGGCGACTTTCCAGAGAGCTCTCCAAGAAGCCAGAACTTCCATTTATCAACCACCTGCCAAATCCTCTGAGAGCCAGCAGTTGTGAGTGACAGAGAAGATAAGGATGCAGTGTGAAAAATTTGCCCTGGCATAGAGAAGCAATCCTTAATATTGTACCTGTTCTGCCATCCCAGGCATTAGAAACAATCAGAAGCACCTTAGCACTTGTTGAGTTTAGCCTTCTGTGAACTTTAGCAAAGACAAAATATATTTCAGTAGACACACACAGATATAATATATTTCCTCTTCTGGTTGATTAGTTAATTTTTTCCAAAACATGTAAATGGAAACTGTGATAATAGAGGAAAATTGCAAAGATAATCATTTTTCCCTTAAAAATTCTGTGCAAGAAAATAACGATAATAAAAACTAATGTGTGTTTTACACTTGCTATAGGTCAGGTATTGTATGCTGACTGATTTATACATGCTGCCTCATTTAAGAAACACACTAAACCCATGAAGTGGGCAGTTTTAGGCTTCTAATTTCATCGTTGAAGAGCCTGATGCTTACTGAGATGAAAAGTAACATGAAACAGTAGCAGAATAAGAGGAGAGGATATGTCATCTTGAAACTCTATTCGTTTTAAAGCTGAATTTTGGCAATGTGCTTGTTCTGCTGTCTTTGGGGCATCAACATTAAAGGAAATAATTGCAACTGCAATGAAATTCTCTTTTGGGAACAGACTGGCTTGATTAAAATGCCTGATGATGGGTTAAAGGAGCAGGAGGATTTGTGCCACCATTTATTTGCTCACTAAATTAGCTATTCTGGTCTTTTATATAAAATGACTGTCTCTGTCAGTATTATACATCTTTCATGTTAAGGTGCTAAGACAAGAAAAATAATACCATATACAAGGATATGAAAAAGTTAATTTCCCTGCAACTATCCTCTTTGTAGTGCAGGTTCCTTGATTTAAGATCTGAGGCACTTCAAAAGCATTGTGAATTTGGAGAAGTAATACATCAGCTAAAATCTAGAGGCTTAAGGCTTGCACTCCTTCACCCCGTCAGGCTTTGTGTGATATGTAACAGAAAATGTCTTTTCTTAGTGGAGTTGATAAAGTTAAAACTTTTCTTGATTAATATTCTCTTGTGAAAATCAGTTACTGCCATGGATTTATACTGCAGATTTGCCACAGTAGTTCTAATTTCTTTTGTGCTGAAGATTCAGCTGATACAGATTTTATTTAATAAGGATAATTGTTGTTGAAGGCCTGAGTTGGTTAGTATTCCTTAGGTATCTCTGCTAGCAAATCTAAAATAAGTTAGCATCTCTGATACTTGACAATGACCTTCAGTGATATTATGGGGATTTTTACACGTCTCATTCAAGAGAATGGTGCAGGAAACAGGCTGTTCTATTGTTTAAGACAATGCAATGTGTGGAAAAGGTACATGCCAGGTAACTGCGTTAAATCCTGACAAATAATATGAGAATTTCAGATTTCCACCTAGCTTTTTAACTTGGCACTTTGTAATAAAATTTCAGTAAATATCTTTAATTTCAATTTTAGCATTGGTGGGTAAAGTATTTTCTGAGTAGCTTTCTTATCCATGTAAGGTAAATTAACCCTTTCAAGGTACCATTTGTTATAATAGAATGGCTAATTCATAGATGCTTCATGAGATTAGATTTGTGTCCTAGTATTTAGCACTCCTGTGTTTATGAAGGCTGACTCCTTACCCAGGTTGTGAGTTCATAATAGGTAAATTCTTTTTTTCCTTCTGAACTTCTTGACATATTATTTTTCCTCAAAAGCAGCCTATCTAAAGAACTATGGTAACCTTACCAAGCTAAGAAGCTTCTAGGTTCTTGTTACCAATTCATTTTGGGGTCAACCAGTTTTGGGCCCCTTGAAAACCTGATGAGAACATCTGATTCTGTCTCAAGTTAATGCTTGTATGCCATTTAAATTTTTTGAAAACAATTTCAGATACTCCATTAGTCCTTTGGAGGCTATTTTTGGGCCCCAATTAAGAATTGTTGTTTTAGGACTTTGTTCATTCTAGGAGGTCCTGGGAACTGTCTTCTGGAATATCATTCTAGGGAGAATAAGGAGAAATTAAAAGGGTATCCATTATTCATCAGTTGATACCATGTCAATGACAGCAATAGCTACCATTTACTGAGCACTTATGTGTTGGAGACACCTGCTTTGTGCATGTTATCTTTCTTTTTATGCTCTGAACAATTCCTGCAAGTTGCTGGCATTACCCCCATTTGAAAATTGTGAAAAGGAAATTTCAAAGACAATGTGAAGCTTGTTTATAGTCACACAGACTGTCTTCAGTGCAAGTACAAGAGAACTTAACTAAAATGTGCAGAGTAATAGAGGATTATTTTATTCTCATGGCAATAAGTCTGTAGGTAGGTGAGTGCTGGCTTTAGGCAAGGGCATCACAGCATTGAGGCTCTGGATCAGCATCCCAGGTGTACTTTTTGGCATTCCTCTCATGCTCAAAAGATGGCAGCCTCAGCTCTGAGCAAGGCAGCTTACCAAAGCAGAGAAAAGGGGGCTTTCTTTAGGCTCCAGAATAATTTCCATCGTATTTTCTTACATCTCACTGCTTATAACTTGGTCACCTGTCCACCTCCAAGCTACGAGGGAGTTGGAAAAATTAATATTCATCTTATTTATCTTTAGTGGTTCTAAACCAGGGTGATTTTATGACCCAGAGAACATTTGGCACTGTCTGGAGATATTTTTGTTTGTCACTACTTTGAGTGTGGAGGTGCTACTGTCACCTAGCCAGTCAAGACCAGGGATGCTGCTAAACATCCTACAGTGCTCAGGAAGTTCTCCACCCCCACCCCATAATAAAGAATTATCCAACCCAAAATGTCAAATGCCCAGGCTAAAGAAGCTTGTTGTATAGTGAAGAGTGGACAAGAAAAAGTCTCTTAGAAATGATCATTTTGTAGGTTAACTGTGACTATCACATGTAACATGTAAATAAAAATTCTAATAATGTGATAATGCTTTAACGGAGCAGGGAACATTTAAATTTTGCTTGGGAAATATCAGATAAGATTTTACAATATTATGTGTTATAATTTTGTATTTTATTTTTCGATGTCTCAAGAATAACCAATCTTTGTTCTAACAGGTTCCCTTGTTAGTTACTATCTGACTGAAAATTTCTTTAACATCTCATCGAAAAGAAGCCTCCATTAAGACTTGGGGTTTACTGTTGATTAATTGTGACTTATTTACATTTTTATTTAGAGATTTAAATAGACTAGTACCTCTTCTTTGTAGGCAGCCATAAAAATCAAACAAAGGAATGACAAGAAAAAAATTATGAAGATAAAAGGCAGTGTAGAGTTACAAAACCAAATCTTCTGACAGTATCAGCCTCACGTGCAGTTTTACTTGCTCTTGTAAATGATCTCTTCCTGTGTTTTTCTTTGTGTCAAGGTTTCCATTGTAGTACAGTTGTCCCTCCGTATCCATAGGTTCTGCATCCATGGCAACAGAGGGCAGACTGGGGTGGGGGTGGGGGTGTGTGTGTGTGGGGCGGGGTGGCATCCTGGAACCAATGCCCCGCAGACACAAAGGGAGGACTGTAATGGAATGTTTTCCAAATGCTACTCTGCAGCAGGTGCATCTGTTAGAATTCATCTAATTTTTACAACAACCCCAGGAGGTAGGCATCCTTTTTCATCCCATATTACAGATGAAGCAACAGAAGCAGGAAAAAGAAAAGGAAATTGCCCAACTTTATGTTAGCTGGCAATTAACTGGTATAGCTGGGATTTGAAACAGGGCAAAGTCTGGGGCTAGATCTTGTTTTCTTAACAGCTGTGCTATAAAAATTAGATGTGTGGAAAGTTATCTTTGACTTTCTCCTCTTCCTCATTTTCTTGTAGCTGGTCAATCAACAAATGCTGTTAATTTAACTTTAGAGAAATTTACACTGCCCCACCTATCCTCATTCTATTAGTATTACCCTATTCTGGGTTTTCATTGCCTGTCACTTATTTCTTGCTGTAGTCTCGATGTATTTCCTTCCTTCCATCTCCTACTTTCTCAAATCCATTATGCTCACTGCTGTAGATCCTAAAGTATAGCTCGAATCATGGCCCAGTTACCTGCAACGTTAAATAGTTCTTTCCAACCCCCAAATGGAGCCCTTATCCCAAGCTAGACTTTCCCTGTTCCCAAATGTCTGTCCCAAATGAATTCTTCAAGCTTTTTATATTTCACTATTCTTTGGATTTTTGAAAGGTATTATTCCTATTTTTTGAAGATGCTCTTTCACTTTTGATACTTTTCTTCTACTTACATTATTATGTTTCCTCACTACATATCTTTGTCTTTCTAAATTTTATGCAATGCTAGAAACACAAAAGATACTCAAAAGAAGAGAGTGGTGGTTCCCAGAGGGTGGGGGGTGGGGGTAGGGAGTAGAAAGATGGTCAAAGGGTACAGAGTCTCAGATAGGGGGAATAAGTTTTCAATTTCTAGTCTACAGCATGGTGATTATACTTAATAAACCACTGCATACTTGGGAACCATTGAGAGAGGAGATTTTAAATATTCCTGTCACAAAAATGATAAATATGTAATGGGATGGATATGTTAATTAGCTTAATTTGGTCATTCCACAATGTATACATATATCAAAACATTGTGTTATATACCACAAACATATATTGTTTTTCATTTGTCATCTAAAAAAGGTAAAAAGGCACTTAAAACAGATTTTCTTGTTGAAGAAATTGAGCTCAAAATGCAGCTGAAGTGCAGCTCAAGTGCCCTTTCTTCATGAAGTGTCTCCTCTACCTGCCTCTGTGAACTGCACAAACACTTCCTCCCCTTCCTGGATTCCTGTGGAACTAAGGACACTCACACTTTCAAAAGGTTGGCAAAAGAGGAATAAAATAAGATTTGCTAGTAATCACTAGAATATCCTCAAATTATACTTTATTATCTTAAGTAGCTGTGGTACAAAGATAAAAATACTGGAATAGTAGTGAGATATCTTAAATTTGAGTCTTGCTTCTCTCACTGAATTTCCTGAGCTTCAATTTTTTAAAAATAATCAATAAAATATATATAATAATATTTTTATCATAAGGCTATTGGGAAGACTAAAAGAGATGATTAAATAACACATTTTATACATTGTAAAGTTGCCATATGATTTTAAAAGAATGTTGGTATTCTCAACTTCAAAATTGTACTAGCATTTGTGGAGGCCTATTCTATGTCAAATTTCGCATCACTGATTTCATGTTATCCTCCTAATAGCTTCATATTATTATTATTTCTAGTTTACAATTTTTTTTTTTTTTTGGAGACAGAGTCTCTGTTGCTTGGGTTAGAGTGCCATGGCATCAGCCTCGTTCACAGCAACCAGCAACCTCAAACTCCTGGGCTCAAGCGATTCTCCTGCCTCAGCCTCCTGACTAGCTGGGATTATAGGCATGTGCTGCCATGCCCAGCTAATTTTTCTATATTTTTTAGGTCTTGTTCTTACTCAGGCTGGTTTTGAACTCCTGACCTGAAGGGATCCTCCTACCTCGGCCTCCCAGAGTACTAGGATTACAGGTGTGAGCTACTGCACCCAGCCTACAAATATGTTTTGTATGTTTACATGACTAACTCAAAATCACAAGACTAGAGAGTTAAAGCATTCACATGAATCTCCTTATTTTAAATCTTGCATTCTTTCTGCCACATATAGTGATGCCTTTATGTGGCAAATGTTCACAGCAATGGAGTGTAGAGACTAAACACATGATATCTCAAGCCATCAGTGTGTGGCATCACAGCCAAGATTAACCATTTATAAGCTGAGTGACATTGTCTAAGCACTGAGGTCCCTTTGGGCCTCAGTTTTCTAACTTGTGAAATGGGTATAATAGTAGTAATTTCTCCATGAGGTTGTTGCAAATATTAAATGAGTTTATGTATGTGTCTTAGGTCTGGTTCCCTAGAAGCAGAGCTTGAGGCAGAGATTATTGTACAAATAGTTTGTGGGAGAGGAATATCAGAGAAAGGAGAGAAAGAGAGAGAGAGAGGAAAGGAGGAAGGGGTGGGGGAGTCATACAAAGAGAGGCTCTCAGCAGGAGACTAGCAGCATCCTGAGCCTGATCACACTGGCAATTGAGAGCCACAAATTACACCCCACAGTTGGTCCTACTTTAGGCAAGGAGTGGCCTTTTGTATACCCTTGTGTCTGTTAGCCATTGGCTACAGCTTCCTCCCTGGGGGTGGCAGTGCATAAACTCCCAGGCCGGCTGGCTTTCCATTCTAGAAAGGCAAATTCTTTTGGAGAACAGGTGAGCCTGGAGTACTTTGCAGCCAACACCTACAGTTGCTAAGTGTTGAGTACACCACACCGCTAAAGCAGATTTGGGCAGCCCACCAACAGAATTCATTTGAACATACAAAGTGCTTAGGAAAGTATCTGGCTCTTTGTAAGCTGCCAATAAAAGTTAGCTTTTCATTACATTATTTTGCTCTGTAAGTTTTCTCAGATTGTTTCATATGTTTAGGTTTGGCTTTCTAACCAGAACGTAGGTTCCTTAAGGTCAGGGACCAATTCTAATTTTGCCTACTGGGCTGGTCACCTGCAGCCATAAATCGATGCCTTGTGATGGCCGCTTAGCAGCTCTGATTTATGTCTGTTGCTGAGGGTAGGACCTCTGCCTACATTCTTCTTTCTTTCTTTTTTTTTTTCCAACTCAAATGCCTGCTTTTCATTACATAATGTGATAATAAATTAGACTCACTTCTATTTTGAGGAGAAATCTCTCCTTACAGAGTTATGTGTGAAAGAATATAATTGTATTTTTATCTATACCAGACACATTTTATAACTTTGTGCTCAATAAAATTCCCCCAAATTTGTTATTTTATTTGTGAACTGCGTTTGTCAATATTTAAAGTGAGAGTTATTAGACGAGTCAGACATACTCTTATTTTCGCCAGTGCAGACTTGTGCTGGAATAATTACTTTTTAATATCTAAAGCAATTCAATTGATCAGAATATTGATCCCATTCTCATTTTTGATCATTGTGCCATTGATTTAACATTATCACTGACTTACCAAGCAGGATAGAATTTGAGGTGTCTTGTGCATTCATCTTTGTTAAAAGATAAATGCATGAGACAGGCTTTAAAAGCTTTTTAAAGTGCAAGATGCTGGAACTGCATTTTCAATCTGCATTCTCTCCTGCTGTTTTATGGAATTTATTGAAAATGTGCCTCTTAGAGGTCAGATCATTTCTTTCTTCAAGTGGAAAAAAAGATATAAGTAATATATTAAAAGGCCTCTAGGATAATATCAAGAAATTAGAACAACCTTATTTTATATTCAAACACTCCTCCTCTTAAACATTATGACTCATCAAAAATAAGAATCACAATTCATCTAACTGCTTCTAGCTAACTTCAGACTTTTGTATTTTAGGTTTATTGGAACTAATCACATAGGACACTTTTTTTCTCTCTAAAATTTTTTCTTCTCTTTCTCCTTTCCCATCAAATAAATTTTTTTTAAAAGCCAAAAACTAAATTAAAAAAACTTAAGAAACTCTGAGACTTATATAATTTGAAATTAACTGATTAAAGTTATTCTTGATTATTCCATCCCTAAATAGCATATTCTCCATTAGTAAAACAGTTTCTGTACAGACTATACACAAAATATATCATTTGTATGGTGCTTCCAATAAGTACAACATACAAATAAATTAGTATCTAAGAAAACATTTTAGCATTGGAAAAAGTGACAGTGCTTTTGTTTTCAAGAAGAAAGTAGCTAGTGTAAATTATTTATTACTCTAATTTCCTAATCTATGTAGACATGCTACAATAGATGTTTTTATGAATAAGATAATATACACATATATTAATTTATTCAGAGATGAATGCTGCTCCTTATTTGTGCTTCTAATCTGTAGAGAAGTTCTTAATTATTTCTGGTCACAGTTTGATGAAAATATTTCCACCTTTTGTTGATTGCCTAGCGTACAGTTTGAAGTACTTCAGTAAGTCTTCCCTAAACAGAAACAGTTTGCTTTCATCTATGCAGGGACAGTCCCCTTTCATTTACTCTAATTAATTGTTAATAGATCGTTCTCTCTCAGTTATTAAAAAGTAATGGTAATGATTCAAGAGCCACTTGGGAAAGAATCCTATTTTTAAGTATTAAAAATGAGCAAAGCCTGAAAAGTCCTCATACCAAATAGAAGTAGCAGGACTCCTCAATGGGCAGTGAGTGGGATTTGCTGGGCGTTTCTAAGCTGGGGTGTTTTATAAAGCAGTGCTTGAGGGTGATCCACTGGCTGAGGGGGGAGGGGAGAACTGTGGATAGAGAGATGAGTTTCATAGAGAATATAATAAGAAGGTAACAGGATATTAAAATGGAGCCCTTTCTGTCTCTGAGATAAGGCCCTAAAACTGAGAATGATGGATGCCAAGTACTTCCCACAGAGACTTTTTTGCAGCACTTGTCAAGGAGCTGCCTCAAATCTGCCTTGCAAAGCTCATCACCTCGCTCTGGAACACATAAAGCAGGGCTGGGGACTAGTCAGGAGGGCAGCTAATACTCAGGATTCCTTCTGATTGCACCGTTGGAACGTAGGGGCATCTCCTCTTCCCTCCGTGGTGCATCCCATTTGCAGTAAACACAATGTGAAAAGCTTCAAGAGGTTATTTTGAAGAGTTTGAGATTTATTATCTGGAGTTTGAGAGATACGGGAGGAATGTTTTTATACATATCTCACAAGGAAAAAGGTGAGAGGTGAATGATAACAGAGTGGGAAGACAAATAATAATAATAATAAAAAAACAGGGACGGGGAGAGAGAGAGAGACAGAGATTGAGTCAGGTGTGCTCTGAGCTCCCTATCCTATCCCTGCCCAAAATAGTGGTGTGAGTGAGGAAAGGATGCAGGTGTTTCTCTGAGCCCAGTAGATCTGTGGGAAGGTATAGGCCTGGAAGTGGCTGAGGTCAGGATGGGAAGGAGGAAGGGACCAAGTGACCAAGTAGAGGAGTGAGGTTAAAAGACTAGAGGAAAAAGATATGGATGTCTTCCCAAGGTAGCTATTTATATCAAAAAGATTGCAAGAAAGCTGAAAACCCCACTGAGGCTTACCAGGAAACAGGGCGTCTGCTCTGAATGCTCTCTTCTACGCCAGAGGGCTCAAACATTAAACCACTAAAGCACCAGCTCCCAATTCTTTCTCCCTTGGGCCTAGGACTTGGGGAGAAGCAGGCAGACTAAAGAGCAGTGAGATTCACCACCCTTCATCCGCATCTCCCCACTCCTCCCCACCTCCCATGCACCTTTACTGGCTTGCAGTGCTATCAAGCTGGCCTAAGAGAAGCTCCAAATTGGATAAGAGCTTAGATTTTGATGATTACACCGAACTGCAGTTATTATTCCCAGAATTAAGTGCCATTGGGAACCAAAGTGACTGAAAAGCTGTTTAACCTGACTGCGATTTCACTGAAAGACACGGATAGAATTATTCCACAGAGTGAGGATGAAGGGACAGGGGGAAAAGGGAATCAAGCAACCTTGTAAACTTACCCTATCAAGTTCAGTCCCTTCAATAAAATGATTAGAGAAAGTAGGAACAATGGAAACTTGGAGATAAGCTCAAGATGGTAGAAATGGAAAAGTGAAAATGGACAACATAAAAATTATGATCAACAATAGATAGCATGTCATCAGTGCTTGATATGTTCCAGGAAAGCATTTCATTTAGAGTTTTTACAACACTGTGATGTAAGAATAACTATCCCCATTTTAAAGATGAGGAAATCACCCAGACACAAAAATCATCTGCCTACAGCTGCACCTTTAAGTGATCTTTCTTTTGTTTTTGGTTTTGAATCCATCCTATGATGCTAACTACTAACTGCTACATGGGACGACTCCTTGTTTTAAAACATGAATCAACAGTACTTGAATGAACAAATGTTAGGAGTGAGGCAGAGCGACAAGCCCACAGCGACTCAGAGACTCAGAGCTAGCATGGCTAAACAAACATCTATGCCATGACCTTAAATTAGAAAACCAGGAGGGGAACTCTATGTAGGAGTGAGAATGAGCAGTTTGATTTTAAACCTAATTTCTTCAAAGGCATGAAGGTGCAGATGTCCAGCAGTAATGGAGAAAGGTGGAGCTAACTGTGGAAGGGCAAAGATGGGGATGCACAAGTACAAGACATTCTTATGAAGGCGATATTGTCACTTCCTCCAGGGAGTTCAGTCTTGCCTTGGGCTACAACCCTGTTCACCCTCCTCTTGGGTGCTTCTGAATCCGTGCACAGCTGCATCCATACACCTGCTGATCTATTTTATAACAAGTGTTTCTGTTATATGTTTTTTCCTAAAAGACTCTGAGTCTAATTCTCTGTGCTGTCACCAGCTCCTAGTGGAGTGCCTGCCACTCAGTAGGCAATCAAGTAAAGCGCACTGAATAACTGCAAGTATTTAAATAAGTAAATGTGAAACAATGAGTAGGGTGATCTTGATTAGGAAGATAATAGAGAGAAAAGAAAGTCTTGAAGACAGAGTTTTAGAAGCTGCCACCAGAGATGAAGTATTAAAGGATACAAAAACAGATGACAGTGATCAAGTGGGGACAATGGGATGAGATCCAGGAAAGGAATACAAGAAGAATCACCAGAAGTTTATTTACAGCACCAGGTGCTTCAGCAAAGTCAAGGAGAATGAGACTCTGAAACGCCACCCGACTTGTGAAGAACTGGTCATTTGACTTTCAGGAGAGTGATGTCCATGGTGGAGACAGGAACCCAAAAGCTGTTAGAAAGGACATAAAAACAATGGCTATAGAATTTTGTAAAAAAAATGATGAAAAGAGATAGAGTAGATAGAAAAGTAGATTAGAGTAGCAGATCAGTCAAATGAAGGGTTATTTACTAATGTATGTGTTGATTCATTGAAGAGGGAGAAATATTAATGTTTAAACATTTTGTTTTCTCTATGTATATATATTTATTTTAAAAAGCCATTGTAACAGGGGCTAATGAAGATGCTATTGAGAAAAGATAGTAAGAATAGTTATATCAGCAAGTAATTGTTTCTAGAATGGCTTATTTTTGTCTTATATAACACCTTTTGGAGTGTTACATGTTGTAAACCTGGGCAGAAGAAAGGCTTGCAAGAGCAGTGCTAAGTGTTACCTATAGTGAGTATTCTCATATTTTGTTACTCCGCATCTTCTAATCACTTTCTCTTTGTTAATTCCTTGCATAAGAAGACAGTCCTCATCTTTCCAGGCTTTGTGGCAACTACAATGAGGTTTATGGTCTAGATTAAATGAATCAGACATGCCTGAGCAAGAAGCAGCGTCAAGTGCTCTGTGGAACCTGCATTGCTGCTGTCCTTAAGCAAGTGAAGGCAGCTGCAGCAGGAGCGATGGTTCTGGGGACCATGCTCTGGACTTAGTGGCCCTGGAGCGAGATCTGAGAGTAAAAATGGACCTTGCCGGCAGTTCTGCGATATGGCTTAGGTATGAGTTCCAGATTCAAGTTCCATTTTTTTTTTTTCTCCTTAGCCTCTCTGTAACTACTGGTGGTGGTAGAATGGGGAATAAAGAAATTTAAAACATGATAAGGAATTTAGGGCCAGGGGATAATTTTTACTTTAAGAAAAAATATTTTACTTCATAAAGAATATAAATAAATAATAATGGTTATTGGATAAAATTTTCACTTATCATTTACTTCCATATTGATGGGATGCTTGTCATTTATGCTTGCTTTCTTATGCAAACTGAAAGATTGTTTTGTCTGTTTTCTAGTTCCACATTAAAATATCTCAAGCTTTCTTGTTTTTGGCACATAGAAGTATTAACTTCCATGTATTGGGTCTTGCCTCTTAGAACCAGTCTGTTGGAGTCCCAGTTTTCAGAAACAAAGTAGAATTTTGGATGCTTGAGATACCAAGAGCTTCGGATAACATTTACTTAATACACTTGCATATTTCAAATAGGTATTTTACAAGTCCTTTCTGTTTGTATAGGCTTATCCTATTTTAGCATTGCTTAGATAATCTCTCTAGCCAGATGCCATCACTCCTTATATGTTTAAGGTTCCATCTTTTTCAGCAAGAACAGAAATGCACAACTAGGCCCAATTTTGCTTTACATTTATTTTTTTTCTCTTCCAAAGTTTTATTGCAATAATCTCTTCTCTTCTTCCACCATCCACTTTATTTTATAGTTCTGCTTACAACTACCTCCGGTTCTGTCTTTTAAAAAGTATTCCCAAGAGAACTGGGTAAGTAACTTTTAAGGGACTCAGGCATAATTAATTATATGTGTGTAGGCTGTGGGTATGCATGCGTGTGCCTGTCTGTAAGTATATGGTAAATCTATGTCTATGCCTATGTATTTAGTGGGGTTCTGTTCTAAAACTCCAGTTCTTTTTCACTAAAGAATCGTTGAAAACAAACCATATCTGAACAGAGCTAAGTAATACTTTCAGATTGTTTTAGCTTGAACTCATTCTTGTACTATGCAAATCAGATGCTCTTTCTGCGTTTACACCATGTTATGCTCACATTACCACTGTATTTGAGAAATGTTGCTCCTTGATATCACTATTTGCTTGACAGTTTTGGTTGTTACATATGCATTCACTCAAAGGTCACAAAAAACAAATTTGATAAAGAATACAATGTTTTTGTTGCTCTCTGTTTTAGGCTGATTTTAACAATAATTTTAAGTTTTGATTATAATTCATAGAAAAAGATATTTATTATTTGAATTATGACTCAATAAAAAGAAATAAAATCAATGTATGTATTGATTCATTCATGTATTCAATTGTCAAGAACTTATATAGAAATTACTAATACTTATTTGGAATAAAATTGTGGTTTTTAAAAATAAAGAACTAAACAAAGGTTTATACAAAATTCTGTATCTCATAAATCTCAGGGATTTCAAATATGAGTCTTAGGGGAATTTGAAATAAATTTCTTTATCCCATGACGGCAGTATAAATATTTAAATTACTTCCTAAACATCAAGAGTTCATAAACCAAGGACTATGTAATAAGAGAATCTATGGCTGGACTTTGCAGTGTTTATGAACTCACCGAATCTATATAATATTCTTTTCCTTATATGGGAGTAGGTTCATAGTTTTCATTGTATTAGTCTTTGAGTCTTATATCACAACAAAGTTACAAACTAATAATATAATGTGATAGATAATCTTAAGAATGCCATAAAAAGTCCTAAAATTATCTTTCGTTAGGTAATTTTATCAAAAATATATGGAATTGTTTTGAAATCCAAGAAAATCTTAACATACTAAACAAAAAGTGGTAACTTCCTTATCTTTTCCCTCCCTTTCCCTACCATTGTTAAATATTCAGATAGAGAAAGAGATTGCTGAGAATATATGCCATAATCTAAATGCTTCGATTTCTAGCCAGTTCCCTTTATTTCCTGCCCCTGTACCTTCTGCCTTTGGGCAGTAAGGATGATGGCATTATTCCTCACTTGTAATTGGAAGGATGTCTACTGCTTTGGTGTTGGGTAGAAAACAGAACACCCATGGGGAGCAATATCAATTTTATTACTTTCGGTGTATATTCTATCATGTCTCCAAGTTTCAGTTGTCCTAGTGTGCTATTTTGTAAATATTTTTATGTTTTACCTGTGTAGGTTTTACATTTGTAATACTATTTTTATAATTTATTATTTTTATTGCTATATTCAATATGGTATTTCACATACACTTGAGTTATATAAAGGGAGTTAAAATTGGCGGTCACTATGGTTTAAACACTGACCTAGATATTTTATATACACAATCTTCTTCACTATTTCTAATAACCATATGGCATAGGCACTATTTCCCCCATTTCACAAATGAAGCAACAGATTCAGAGAGCCAAAATTATTGTTTCATATGGCATTCCTGAATGTTTGAAATATTTGGAAACTAAATTGAGTTGGCTTTTTTCATTAAAAATTTTTGAACATGATCTCATTTAAACGTGAAAGCCAGCAAAAACATACTCACTGAATCTTCTTGATATTTTCCAGAATAAGTAATTAACTGAAAGCTAATATGTGATAATATAATCATGAAAGACTAAGAACCTTCATGGGTAATGGTCTAATTTGAATTCAATCATTAATTATTGTAAGGTATAAGATCACCAGTTAATTAATTCTAACTTCTCTCTCTCTCTCTCTTTTTTTTTTCTTCTTCAAATTTTTGTCTTGGCACTGTAGATTATTGCAATGGAACGGCTGAAATTTCAATCTTTTTTTGTGATAAGGCTGTCTGAGGTTTTCAATGAATTCACATGCATTTTTTATCCCATTAGGAAGAGAAGAACAACTGTTTCACAGAGCAGGTAAAGAAAAAGGCGTTGCTGGAAAGGGCACATGAAGAATGTTGCTGTGGATGGCATCCTGCTTTTGCTTTGAGTAGTGTTGGTGGCATTAAAAAGAATAAGATAGCAGTGACTAATTTTACCTCCTAGTTCACGATTTCATCACATACCTCTTTGTTTGCTATTCTGCGACATCAGTGAATTATACTTCTGCACCTTTTCCTGGGTAATTACAGAGTAAAATGTAAGTTAGATTATGAGAGCTATTATAATCTTGTCAGTATATTTGGCTAAAGTCTTTTATTTAATGGGTTTTTCTTTTTAAGTGAGGGCTTTTCAAAGGACTGCATCATTTAAATATTGTTATTCTTCACTGACCTAATAATGGAAAAAAAAATCAGAAAAATAGATTATTTGGAGAATGGTAAAAAAATTCTGAGAATTTAAAAAAAAACTCATCCTAACAAAACTTCAGTGAGTAATCTCCTTTTATAGTTTCACTAAACTTTGGGGATATCTTTTCCCATTGATGATGTAAAATTGTAGAAAAGTGTCAAGTGTCTATATTCAGATACCTAAATGCATTTGAGGAACTCAGGCCAAAATTGTTTGACAATTGTTATTCATATGGTTTTAAAGAGAATCAAACGTATTTTAAAGCTGAGTATCTTAGACCATAACACAGACTATAAAGTTACTCAGCTCAATAAACAACCTGTGTTTATTAATATCACACACAGCAGCAAGCACCATGGTAGGGCCTGGGAGGGAGGGAACTCAGCCACTACCCAAGAAGAGTTTAAGATACACTAAGCACACTAGAAAGACAGAGGAAATCAGTTTCAGTTAATCTAGGGAGGGATTAGAAGGAATAATGAATTTCAAATAAAGATCCCTGCAACCCTCTCCAGGTTGTTGGACAATAGGTGGATGCTTTGCTGCCTTGTTCCTCCTCCCTTGCTTAGCTTCAATCTATGCAGTGAGTTATCTGATGTCATCTGCTTTATGAGTTGGGTTTTCTTTGAATATAGAGCTTCATGGCTAAAATGGCAATGGGAAACACCCTGAGTTTACAAAAGGGGAGTTTCAAATTCTTAAAGTTCAATGGGAGGTGTGGATTCAGCCTGAAACATTTCTTTTACACTGATATATAGCACAGAAGAACTAAATAAATAAATAAAAAAAACCCAAAGGTAATCACTTGTATCCATATCACTTTGCACTATGATAATTGTATGTGGAGTTAGTTTTAAGTTATAAAAATACTCAGATACATTTGTTCAATATCAATCTATGCAGAGAGAAAATATCTGCCATTTAAAATTATTCTATAAAAATGTAAATCATTAAATTTCTTATATTTGGATAGACTTCATAAATTGAACCTGCCTTCTCTGTTTTCTTTGCTATACCTGAGTATCTGACACTGAGTAATTTGTAAAGAAAAGAAGTTTATTTGGCTCGTGGTTCTGGAAGTGGGAAGTCCCAGGGCATGGCAGCTTCTGATGAAGGCCTTCTTGCTGTGTCATGATACGGTGGGAGTCGCCACATGGTGAACAACAAGCTGTTAGGGCAGGTCTCTCTTCCTATCCCTGAAAACTCTCTAATTCTATCATGGAGGCTCCACCCTAATGACCTCATCTAATCCTAATTACCTCTGGATGGCCCACCTCTAATCAATGTATGAATTTGGGGATTAAGGGTTTTTTTTTAAATTTCAGGATATTATGGGGGTACAAACATTTTGGTTATATGTTATGACTTCGCCTCACCCAAGCCAGGATTAGAGGTGTGCCCTTCTCCCATACAATGCTCACCCCATCGATTAGTTGTGAGTTTACCCACCCCCCACCCCCCAAACCCCAATGAAGATTACTACCATGTAAGCACCTTAGTGTTGATCAGTTAGTGCCAATTTGATGGAGAGTACATGTGGTGCTTATTCTTCCATTCTTGTGATACCTCACTTTGGAGGATGGGCGTAAGTTTTTAACACATGAAATCTGAGGGATACTTTCAAACCATAGCAGGACCTTATAAAACGAATCCTCTTTAAAATACAAAAACGTAATTCTATTGTTTATCTATAGTACTGTTTATTGTTTATCTATAGTACTAAGAAAGTTCAGCACATAAAGAGTAACTAAACCTCAGCTTGCACAAACGCTGTGTTGATTGTAAAAAGGCAGATGCGACAAAATAAATCAATTGCATAAAAGTGTCCCTTTTGCATGAGCCAATTTGAAAAAAAAGGCATCCTTTTAATCATCTTTTTTTTTTTTTTTTTTTTTTTTTTTTTTTTTTTTTTAGGGAAATACCATGAGTCATTAATCATCTTATAATTCTTATGTAGTCATAGTTTTCCTGTGAGAATGAGTATTAGATATCAAACTTATTAATGTCTTCTTGCCTGTAACTCTTATACAAAGGACAGCCTGTATAGTCATATTTGTGTATTTAACAATAGCCTTGATGATCTGATCTGAAGACTTTTGAGAAAGAAGAAATGATATTTTATGTCTATTTTACTTATTGTTGTATTGTCCATGCCCCACTCATATCTCCTATTATTATAATAAATGTCTAGCTAGTTGATGAGAGAATGGCTGAAATAAAAGTAGAAAAGATACATATTTTATAGAAAGGAAGTTCAGTCAGAAGTCAGAGATCACAAGAGGAGAAATCCAGGAGAGGGAAAGCTAAGAGTCAAGAACGTTGTGGTGTGGAAAGTTAGTTACAGGACCTCTATAAAAGAGGCTCGAATGTGCAAAAAACCCTAGGGTCATGAGTATTACCTTTGAATTACCATGGCTGCCTGGATTTTTGAACTTTAAGATTCTAAAATAACCTAAGTATTCTATTTTATGTGGCGACTTAGAAAAAGCTAGATTTGGGGATTAGGAAACTTTCAATTTTTTTCAGGGCCCATCCCTTTAAAATTGGGCAGAAATTTTGTATCCTCAGTTCTGGAGATAATTCGTTCAAGTATATCAGTTGATGCCAAAATAAAAAGTTGGTGTGGGAGGTAGGGAGGTGGATTAATGAGTTGTAGGTTGCATTGTGAGGTTGGTATTAGAGAAAAGCAAATTAAACTCAAAATAAGTAGAAAGGGTAAAATGATATGAGAAAAGAAATCAATGTAATCAATGCTAGTGGAAATCCAAGACACTCCAACATGGAAAACAATTTGAGTTTCCTACGAAGTGAAACATATATACCTTATGACTCAGCAAATGCATTTCTAGGTGTAGTCCGTTCAATGCTTGTCTTAAAATTGCAAATTTGATTTAACACAACTAATGTGTTAGGAGACAATTTGTATACCTTTTCACTTGTTTATGTGCAATTTTGTCTACGAGAAAGATTAAGCGAATGCAGAAAACTGAACAAGCTAAATTGAGGTATATAGCAATACATAAACACATATGTGCACATCTCAAACATCTACTAGCTACCTCACAATTTACCAGGGTGTTATGAGTCATATCCACCCACATCCAATAGTATAGCTTTTCTTATCATATCAGATAACCCTCCTATTCCTTCAAAATAACTCGAAATAACTTTCAAGTTGCGATCCTTCCAATGCCTAATTCCACAAGCCAAATTCATCTTTTTCAGTGTTAAAGTGCCATATTTATTGTAGAATTTGTGTTCTTTACCACTGAATGTATATAAAATTATAATACTGTTTTCATAAGGATTAATTATTTTTGCTTATGTTTCACTGATGAAGGTTTTGAGTGTTGTTTCCCTATTGCCATTTTCCCCGTAAGTCCTAGTGGGTTTTTTTTGTTTGTTTGTTTTACAACAAGGTCACATTCTTTGCTTGGACAAGAGGAGTGCAGTAGCATCATCAATCATAGCTCATTGCAACCTCAAACTCCTGGGCTCCAGGAATCCTCCTGCCTCAGCCTCCTGATTAGCTAGGACTATAGGCGCACACCACCAAACCCACCTAATTTTTCCATTTCTCATAGAGACAGGGTCTCATTCTTGCTCATTCAGGCTGGTCTCAAACTCTTGGGCTCAAGTGATCTTTCCCTGCTCAGCCTAGCAAAGTGCTAGTGTTACAAATATGAGCCATCACATCTGGCCTCGTCCTGTGTTTTTTAATGCACAATTTTTCATAATGTGGTGATTTTTAAGAACATATCTGTCATATTATAGCAGAACCAACTATATTTATCTAATAGAAATGATAATAAATGCCCACAAAGGCTGTTCAGGAATGTTCATAGAAATTTTATTCATCAAGTCAAAAATTCAAAAGAATCCAAATGTTTATCAACAGGATAATGGGTAAAAGAAATTGTGGAATATTCATACAGAGAAATAAAATGTTAATAAACTGATGAAATGCAATAACATGTATGAATCTCATAGATATGATGATCAAAAGGCCTAGACACAAAGTAATATGTGATGTATGATTCCATTGATATGAATGTCTATAGAAGATAAAACTAATCTATATTGGGGGGATTGTAAGGAAAAGGTACATATACACACTCATGTTAGATAAATATATAGATAAATAATTATAGACATATGTGTATATGAATATCTCAGCATATATGTCCTAGCAACGTCTACTGAGACAGCCTAGAAGCAGCAACATGCCAGGGACAATGAGCTCACCAAAAACCCATTATCTTGGTTTCTAAATGCCATTCACCAATAAAAAATATCAGGGAAGCTTGATAAAAAGACTGATTCTTGGGCTAGAATGGGAAAAGTACCAGCTAATACTGGAATGATATCATGCACAAGAAAGAAAGGTGGTGACATATCAAAAGGACACTTGAGTCAATCCAAAAGTCTGTCACTAACTGAATATCGAGAAATTGAGCACCAAAATCAATAATGATAGCAATGGAAATGTCATAGAAGTTCAAGCTGCTATAACAGAATAACAGAGAGTGGGTGGCTTAAACAACAGAAATTTATTTCTCACAGTTCTGGAGGCTGGCAAGCACAAGATTAAGAAGCTGGCAGGTCTGGTGTCTGGCTAGGGCACTCCTCCGGATTTGCAAATAGCTGTCTTCTCATTGTATCCTCACATGGCCAAGAGAGAAATCACCTCTGTGCCTCTTCTCATAAGGACACTAATCCTATTAATTA